ATCTGTATAATAACCACAAAAGAGTTATGTCTCTTTCATTAGACATTGATGTACAAAGAGAATTGTTATGTTTCCAATCAAAAATTGATCTCAAAAGAACTTTTTCAATATTGTATTATAAGATTTTTTTAATTGTAAAATATTGAATTTTAAGATTTTTATTTTAAGGGGTCGAAAAGCCCTCCGTTTTTGTTGAACGACAAAAAGATCTAGTTATTATTATTTTTCTTCTTCCTGGGAAAATCTTTTCCGCGAATGATCTTGTAAACTACATGTCCGACTTAGGTGAAACCTTTTTAGGGTCAGTAGGCATGTTATGTAGATTTGCGGAACGAAGGTCATTTTGCGCGCACGTGCTTGCAAGAGCGCGCACGTGCATCGCGTGAAATGACCAAAATAATAGATACAGCCGTAACTTTTCATGAACACAGAGGAGGGGGGCGTTTGCGAACAATGCGTTAAATGACAAAAAGTTGATATCATTGTAGCTTTTAATTTTCTTTTATGAAATCCTGCGATATGGTCTGGACGTTTGGAGAAGTATGAATAGGTATTATGGATTCAAAAACGCGCAACGCAATGCGTAAAATTTAAAAACGGGTTACCCCGAATGTACATAGAGAGACATGTTTTACATGAACATTATGAAACGAACAAGAACAAATAAAGAAAACCCGAATGTACAGGAAAGCGTTTTACATGAAGACTTTGAAACGAACAAGAACAAATTTTAAAGAAGTAATGTACAGGAAAGTGTTTTACGTGCAGACTATGGAATAAACAAGTACGAAACACGAAAAAAACCCAAATGAACATTTGTAAAATCACGAAATTAATTTGAAAATGACGTATTGGTCAAAGAAAAGGGTATAAAAGAGGGGGTAAAATACGATCTAACGATGAATACCAACGCTGGACGACAGCCATTGAAAAGTAAGGGCATTTTACTATTTAAAATTTAATTTTTTACATGTTTCTTTCATATCCTCTTGCACAATATCTATTTTTTTTGTTATCTTTTCAATCTCTGTAGAAATTTCATTTAATTCTTTCTTTAAAGTTTCTTGAATTTTTTTCTTTGAGACCAGTTCTCTTGTGAGTCGGTCGTGTTCTTTCTGCATATTGTAAAGAGCAAAATTATCGGGACCTAAATCAACATCGAGGATTTCATCATCAGTCTGTGAGAAATATGGACTGAAAGAAAAGAAAAACAAAATAATAGATTTACAAACTTAAAGGAATGTTTAAATTAAAGCGGGAAAAATTCTAAAATTAAAATACCTTTGAGAAGGAGATGTTATTTCCGGGGAAGTAGATCTAGAGGAGACAGGTGTAGGAGATCTGAAAGTAAAAATTGGGTTAATGACGGTCAAGAGTAATGATAACAAAACAAAAACCCCTTGTCCTGGACGTATATTAATAGTAAAGAAAAAGCAAATGTATACCTGGAAGTAGCCGAAAAAGAAGCAGACTGTTGAGTAGATGACGATAATGCTGATAATGATTCAACTGTCGGTGATCTATTAAAAAAAAGTAAAAGGGGGGGGGGACTTAATATTTTATTTTATTGAAGAAAAATGATTGATAAAAAGCTAAAAATTTCTGTTAAAAAGAAAGTAATAAGAAATACCCAATTGGAGGTGTGAGATCCGAGTCGGAGCTGATATTAATAGGTTCTTCAGTGCTGGAATCGAGGAAACGTAACAGTGTCATAATTGAAAACTTGTAATAAAAAAAAATCATCACGTATACAAAAAAAACCTACTCTTGTAAATCAACCGAAGGAACTCTAAGATCGCTGCTCTTTTTTAACCTGAAAAACAGTTCGAAGCATAATAAAAGAGAAAGAGAAAGGAGAGAAACAAAGAGAGATAGAGAGAGAGAAAGAGCTTGACTTACATTTCTGTAATCAGCTGTTGAGCCATATTGTAAAAGTGAGTGGAGAAATCTGGGAGATATCGCAGGTAGGATTGCGTCCGAAAATAGATATAAAACCGAAATCATTTGAATCTTTTTATAGGCAAAATTTGAACTGCGTCAGCATTTAAATGTCCATGTTAATTAATGCCAGAAACGAAAGACAAGTCCTTTCCTACTTTTAAAAACGTGTAACTAGTAAAAAACAAAAGTAATAGTTGTTACTGCATGTCCATGGATCACGTTGCACATAAATCAATTTTTGTGCATGCCATTAAGGTAGTCCGATCCTCAGGTTTATAAAATTAGCAGTTAAGAAATCAAAAATACTCATAGAAGTGTCTCTGAATCCACAGAGTAATGTTAATTTATCCACAGCATTTCATTAAAGTTAAAGATTAAAGTTCACTTTGATGCATTTCAAATTAAAAATTAATTTTTTTTAGTTATCCTTCCTGGCAGAGGATCGGATATCCTTAAGTTAAAAAAAAAACAAAAAATATTCAGAAAAAAAGAAAGATTTATTAAACATACAGGAAAACGTATGGAAAAAACCACCAAAAACAATAAAAAAAAACAAACATCAATCGATACAACAAAAAATGCACATTTAACTTTTTACGAGGTGAAGAAGAGGAGGAGGGGGAGGTATCCGCATAAGAAGAAAACAATAATATTAAAATATAGTACAAGAATATTAATATCAGCGATTATAAAGAGATTTGACAGTTAATTAGGAATCAACAGAAGGTCCGAATACAGAGGAAAGTAATGACAAAATGCAAATAAAATTATTAGAAATATGAATAATGAATATGTATATATGAATAATAATGAATTAATAAATGTTCATCATTGATTTCTGGCCGAACGCAGAACACGGGTGCTGGCACAGGTCGGCATCCGTGGATTCTTGCGGGGCCTTCTCTCCTCCACCTCCTCCACAACAGGGACTTCCACTTCCGCCTCCTCCTCTTCCTCACGAACACAAAACATATAAAACATGGACATGAACAGGACAAGAACTATAAAAGTAAAAAAAAACAAAACATAGATATATACAAAAACAGTGAAAAAGTCATGATTACTGGACATACAGAAGTAAATGGGGGGGGGGGGGGGCATGTGAACAAAAATTATTAATACATACATGTATAGAAAAGAAATACAACCACAAGAAAAGTCATTAATATCCTAAATGGTATAATGTGGGCTATTGAGTTCAATCTTCTGTTGAATTATATACATGTACATGAAACAAAATTCATATAATGAAGTTAATTAGAATAAATATAATTTATCGTACTATACGATGTTACGTTACACTTTCAGGAATATTTTATAGCGTTTCTTGAATTAATAAAATATTTTTTATGTAGACATTTCATATACTTCAAACTATACGCTTTTTTAATTTTACATACAACTGGCATTAAAAAAATTACAAAAATAAAAAAAAATCTGTAACGTACATGACGAAGACAAGATATATGTGTGTATAAAAAACGGTTACAATTACAGAAATAAAACAGGGGGGGGGGGATTTACTCAGACTTCTCTCTTTCAAACACAATTTCAGCCGACAACATCGAATCGCTCTCCTCCTCCTGCAAAAACATAGGCAACTGTTGCGGTTCTAACTCGGAAGGAGAAGAGCGATTACGACGATGACGACAACAAAAACGACGATAACGAAGACATAGATATAGAAACAACACAAACAGGAAGGTCACAACACCTACAAGAAAAGTGAAAAAGAAATGCAATGAGAATATAAAGAGGGACTATAGCTATATGAAAAGTTAAACTGTAGTAGTAGTTGACTTATATACATTACTGGATTCTATACAAGCAGAGCGTGTAGAACGATAATGCGTGCGTTTATAATGTCTAAAAAGCAGGAAGCCAAGCACTATCAGGGGTATAATAAGCAAGGATAATAAACTAAAATATACAAATCTATCAGAGTCTCTGGGTTTTTCTGTTTAAAAAAAGAATGACTTTTAGTAAAAAATATTTTTAAAGAAAAAAACACATAAAATAAAAGTGAAAATATACTAACAAAAAGAAAGAAACTTACCGGTAATAACAACAACCGCTGCAGTTGGTAAAGTAAATTCCCCTGGAGAAAGAGAAAAAAAATCATTAAAATATCAAAAATATCAACCTGTAAAAGATGTTTGTAATAGGAATATTAGAATATAAAGAGTAATACCTGTCATCACTTCATAAGTCGTGGTGGTCTTGCCCTCACCTGAAAAAAAAAGAAAAGACATACACATTTAGAAAAAATAGAAGAGAGGGGGTGAGGGTGAAAGAAGAGAAAAACAATACCTACCATAGGTGATCGAAGCCATCCTATGGGAGGTCAAGACCACACGAGTTGTCCCGGAGTCTTCTAGTTAAAAAAAAAATAAAAGTAATTTCATATGTTACACAAATAGGATGTCTTAAAGTATAATAATGATGTATTAAATGACAAAAAAAAAAAATAATCAAAATAACCTACCACCTGTAGTGGCTTGAGGCTGGATGGGTGTTTCTAAAAGGAAAAAGTAAAGTGTTTATTAAATATTTACGATAGACCCCCCCCCCCCCCACACACACCCAAGAGAGAGAGAGAGAGAGAGAGAGAGAGAGAGAGAGAGATCTTACTACTATTAATCTCTTGATCAGCTTGTCCAGAAATATCCACTACAAAAAAAAATATTTATTATAAACATGAGAGAGAGAGAGAGAGAGAGAGAGATCTGACTACTATCAATCCCTTAATTGATCCAGTTGTCCAGAAATATCCATTACAAAAAAAAATATTCATTCTAAACGAGAGAGAGAGAGAGAGTTTGTACTCTTACCTTGCCGTGGGTGTACCTGACCATGGATAACCATGGTCAGGTACCGAGAATCAAACACAACCTCCCGGGTCCCTATTTCGAATTGGGGGTGGAGGACAGTCTGTCCTCCACCCACCGAAAAATCGATGCATTCGCAGGCACCCGAACACTGGATGAAGGGGGATTCCCTCTCCTCGTCACAGCAGATTCTATATGGGGTGCACTCTGGGGTGGGAAGAGCCAACACCCCAGAGAGCAGCAGCACACACAACATCCAATCTCTATACATCGCCATCTTTGTATCAAGTACTCGGGTGACCCTTTTTTTTGACAAAGAGGGAGGGAGCGGCAACATCTAAGGCACGCACCAGACGAGACACAGACAGAAAAAAAAACTCAGTGACCCCTTTTTTCCCCTTACTCTCCAATTAGTTCAAGCTATCCCACTTTTTCTCATGATTTCCATTTCAAATGTGGGGGGAGGGGGGGGGGGGGGGGGGGGGGGGGGGGGGTGCAAGGAGGGGGGATCCCCCATCTCTCTATGATTTTCCATTCCCAAAAAAAGAGAGGAAAGGGGGGAGGCAGTTACTTGTAGAATATATATCTATTTGTATGATATGTATATATATTTATTTACTTATTTAAACAAAAATAAACAAACAAATACTAATTAATTTTTATTTATTAAAATAGGAAATGGTTTTTCAATGTCCATATTGTCCAAGAAGGTTTGAAAATGAGGAAACTTTCCGATTTCATAAATATACTCATGAAAGAACGGAAGAATTAAATATCCTCATACCAGCGAAATTAAGACGAATTGTCGAAGAAGAAGAAGAAAACGACGACAATGAAGGAGAAGAGGTTTTATTAATTCAAAAATGTCAGTGGTGTGGTGCCGTATTTCACGACAATAATGAACTGTTTCGATTTCACGAAGACCTGCATCAAACAGGGGCAGGACCTTCAGCGACAGAAGAAGAAGAAGACATTTCTTATACTTTTCGTAAAGTGAACGAAAAAACGTTCAAAAGAAACAACGCCATTGATCGGCATTACGTCGTGAAATTAAATTCTGACATTGCTCGGGAAAAAAGAAGAGTAAGAGATGTTCAAGATAAACTTTCAAAGATGTTTGGTGCCACATTACAAGACGCTACGCAAGATCTAAGGGCTGAAAGTGACTTCATTCGTGTCATCGTCCACTCAGACTCTCTTAACACACCTATCATTGTCCCTTTGCGGAAAATTCAGAATATGACACCGCAGGTCATTCTTGATCATATAAACCATGTTCTGACCAGTCATGAAGACATGCCCTTAGATGAAAGTTTTTATTTAGATATTGGTACTGTGCAAGTGCCTGTAGGTAAGTTGTGTCTGTTTTCAGTTCTCGGGAAAAGAGAGATAACTCTAACTACTTTTTTTGGATAACCCGTATTTTTAATATTTTGATTTATTATATACAGGCGGACGTGGACGAGCCATACAGCAACTTCATGGACCAAAAAGTTCAACAAAGTCAAAACGGTCTGTTATCACCATTAATAACGATGACGAAACCTGCATGGCTCGTGCTATAACTATGGCATTTGCCAAAATCAATCATGTCAAAACAAGAGAATGGAATTCCCTCACTGGCGGTGAAGACAAGCGTAATTTAGAAAAGTTAATTTGGAAATATAAAAAAGTACCTGAATGGTATTATAATAAACTGCGTGATCATCGTGATCCAGGAAAAAGACAGACTAAACTCACTGCAGAACTGTGTAGGTTAGCCGGTGTACCTACAGATCGCCGTCTAGCAGTGTCCGATATAAATGCTTTTGAGGAGTTTCTAAATGTTGATATTTTGGTGATTAGGGCTATAGGCGGAAATAAATTTATCAAAACCCCGCCCGAAAATAGCGTAAAACAACGCCTCTATTTATATTTATCAGATGTACATGATAAAACTACTGGGACCAAAATTCCTCATTTCGATGCTATTGTTAATATTTGTGGGTTTTTTGGAAAGTCAAAGTTTTGCTCGCGTTGTTTAATTCCGTACAAAAATTTACACCAATGTGAATCCACGTGTTATGTATGTAAAAGAAAAGAAGAGTGTAGGCCATCTAGAGTGAAAATGAGTTGCAAATTATGTCATATGACTTGTCGATCACTTTCTTGTTACAAAAGTCATTTAGTTCCACAAGGTAAACGAAAAGAATCGGCGTGTGCCAGGTGGTGGAAGTGTGTTACATGTCAGAAAGTGATAGATCGAAAGGCACTTGAACCCTCAAAACACGTGTGTGGTGAGTGGATGTGTAAGAGTTGCGGTAAATATGTCCCAGATGACCACCTGTGTTTCATACGCCCAACCGAAAGCAAGAAATCCGTCCCTAAATTTATTTTTTTTGATTTTGAGTGCACTCAAAGTGATTGCATTCTACAGTGTCCCGAAGGATATAATCACGACCCCGCGCAATGTAAAGACTGCAGCGGATCGAATTGTTCATTGTGTTCAAATTGTCAACAATCTCATTGCGGAAAGTTTGAACACGTTCCAAATTTAGTCATTGCTCACAAAGTTTGCGAGATGTGTATAGATGAACAACAAATCGACGTTAAGTGTCAATTCTGCGGAAAACGATGTCCTGAATGTGATCATTTTGATACTGAAAACGATTGTTTCAGTACTGAACCTTGTGAAGAGACCTGCGGTTTTCGCGAAGTCGTGTTTCAAGGAGAAAATATTAAAGAAAAGTTTGGTCAATGGCTTTTTTCAGAACATCATAAAAATTATACCGCACTAGCTCATAACATGAAAGGATATGATGGGTATTTCATATTAGAATATCTAGTCGAGAACAGTATCATACCGGATGTTATCTATTCGGGATCAAAACTTATGTACATACATGTCGCGAATCAATTAAACATCCGAATTCTCGACTCTTACAATTTTTTACCCTCAAAACTATCCAATCTACCGAAAGCTTTTGGTTTAAGCGAATTAAAAAAAGGCTATTTCCCTCATTTCTTCAATACAACTGAAAATCAAAGTTACTTGGGGCCATACCCCGATCCGTGTCATTACGGATGTGATACTATGAGTAATACAGATCGCAGCGATTTTTTAACATGGCATCAGGCAAAAATCGACAACAATGAACAATTCGATTTTGCCAAAGAAATTATAGAGTATTGTCGAAGTGATGTTGATATACTTCGTCAAGCTTGTTTAAAGTTTAGAGAAACTTTAATGGAAATTACAGGTAAAGGTGACTTTGAATTAAATGACGAGGGGAATATTGAATATCATTTAAAAGGTAGCGTAGATCCGTTCCAACATGTAACTATCGCCAGTGTTTGCATGGCAGTTTTTAAGTCTAAATTTCTGCACGAGGACTTAAAAGTTAAAATTAGACACGAAGACGAAGTCTTATGGGCAGAAGCCAGGCGATTGGAGGGGGAAGTTCGCGTAAACATTCCGGGAAAGGGGTGGGTTACTACGCAGGCCTTACAAGATGATGATTATTTTGTAGAGGAGGAGCAATTTATCGATAGTCCTCTTGCTCAGGTTCCATCTTCGGGATATCATCGTGATCAATATAGCAAAATGTCAATCGAGTGGTTAGAATGGGTAATGGAAAAAGAAAAAAGAGAAGGAAATGTTCCTTTATATATAAGGCATGCTTTAAATGATGGAGAATATAAAGTTCCCAATTCAAATTATAAATTAGATGGATATTGTAGGGAAACAAACACCGCATATGAATTTCACGGATGTCTATGGCATGGATGTTCTATATGTTACCCAGACAAACGCAGACTTCGCGTGCCGCGCACTAATCAGACCTTAGACGAACTGCTTGCATTAACTATAAAAAAAGAAAAATATCTCAAATCTCTCGGTATGACTGTTGTTACTATTTGGGAGCACGACTTCGTACAGTTGAAGACAGACGACACTGAGGTGTCCGACTTTGTGGCCTCTTTAGACTTGCAGAAAAGACTAAACCCCCGAGATGCATTTTTTGGGGGGAGAACTAATGCTGTTAAGTTGTACAAGAAAGTCGAAGAAGATGAAAAAATTCATTATTTAGATTTTTGTTCTCTTTATCCGTCCGTCAACAAGTATTGTAAATATCCACTTAAGCACCCTCAAATCATAACTAGGGATTTTCAAAGCATTGAAAATTATTTTGGGTTAGCTAAAGTTAAAGTATTGCCTCCTAGAAATCTATACTTCCCCGTTCTACCTCAAAGAATAAACGACAAACTAGTGTTTGCTTTATGTAAGAAATGTGCAGAAGAAGAGAGACAACTGCGTTGCACTTGCTCTGATGAAGACCGGTGTATCACAGGTACATGGTGTACACCGGAGATAGTTCGAGCAGTACAGGCCGGCTATAAGATTGTTAAAACGTATGAAATATATCATTTTGATTGTGTTTCTTCACCTGGTGACCCTGAAAACGACCTTTTCGGTGGATATATTGATTTGTTTCTGAAAATAAAACAAGAGGCTAGTGGTTGGCCGACCGACATACAAACGGAAGACGAGGCCTTGCAGTATATTATTAATTATGCAGCTAAGGAAAATATTCAACTAGACCGCGAGACTATTTGCAAAAACCCCGCACTCAGATCTATTGCCAAATTACTTTTAAATTCATTTTGGGGGAAATTTGGACAGCGCTTAAACATGCCTCAAACATCCTTTTTTCACGATACTGAAGCTGACAAATTTTTTGCAAGTCTTTTTGATCCGTCTAAAGAGGTCACAGACTTTCATATCGTTAATGACGAACTAATCCATACTACATGGAGAAACAAAAGTGACCTCGTTAAAGAAGATTACCAAACAAATATATTCATTGCAGCATTCACGACCTGTTGGGCCAGACTAAAACTTTATGACGTTTTACACATGCTCGACAGACGTGTCTTATATTTCGATACAGACTCTGTTATCTTTGTCAGTAGACGAGACGATGTAGAACCAGAAATTGGACCTTACCTTGGACAGTTGACGAACGAGTTAGGTTCTCCTGATGATTACATTGTAGAGTTCGTGTCTGGAGGTCCTAAAAACTATGCATTTAGATCTGTTAAAGGAGAGCAGATCTGTCGCATTCGCGGGTTTTCTCTCAATTATAAAAATTCACAAATCTTAAACTTTCGTTCCATGTTAGACATTGTCACAACTGACCAGAGCAAAACTTTGACTGTAACAAACCCAGCAAAAATCACGAGGTCTAAATACTTGTATAAAATTTATAACACTACAGAAAATAAACAATATCAACTTGTTTATTCAAAGAGAGCAATACTACCAGATTCGTATGACACTTTACCTTACGGTTATTGAAAAACTTGTGTTTACAATTGTTTTACCCTCCTTTTTTCTCAAATGTCCATGTAATTATACTAAAAAAGGAGGGTTGTATGACATATTATAAAAACATGACAAGATTGTTTTTTTTTTGAATGATTTATTGTCTATTTTAACAAACATGAATTGAAACGTTCTGATTAAAGTTTAAACCATTGCTGTTTCTTCTTCTTCTTCGTTTTCTTTAGTATAGTCTTGTGCACAGGAAATCCTGGTGGAGATCCGTTTGTTTTCTTTTTGACGATATATCCAGAACCTTGTTGATTTTTCTTCTTTTTTTTTTCTTGACGTTTCTTTTTTTCCTCGTCAGTAGTTTTAGTTTGAATTTCTTCTTCTAATTGCTCTTTTGGTAAATTGTCTTTTTCTCCTTGATTGATCTGCGGCTCTTCTTTTGGTTTTAAGAGTATGTCATACTTTTCTTTTGGTATTAAAAGTAACTCCCGAGACATTATTTAGTATACTCAATGACGGTTTCAGTAAAATAGGTAGTATGGTATGTTCTCGTAGTAATAGATTTCGTTTGGCACTCGTCTTTATCGACTTGCTGCTCAGTTTATGAATGGTGTTTTGATGAGGAGACAATCTCTTAATATAATATTTCGTTAAAGGAAATGTTCCCTTGTACACATTTAAAATTACCTCACATAAAGCCTGTTGTTGATTTTCGGACATCGTTCTTAATAAAGCTTTTCTTTGTTTGGGGTCCGCTGAATATAATGTTTTAAGGAATGCTGCATTGGATGTCACTAGAAGGCTCATGGTACTGAAAATAACTCTTACTGGTATTATTCTCTGGGTAAATATATCACGGTGTCTTCTTGTGGAAATATATGCGTGCGCAACCTATATTGATCTGGACTGGCTGGGTTCATATCAACCAATAAATATCCGTATGGTTTTGATGTTGCTTTTTGATATGCGTCCTTGAAATACGAGGATTGACCTGGATAGACTTGGGCCCCAAATGACAATATCTGTTTAGAGTCTCGCAAAGAACGAAACAAAACCACGTAATGACAATTTAAAGACAAACTGCGAAAATTCTTTGACTGAAAAAATAAATTCTGGGTTAAAAAAAACACTGTGCAGTTTTTGTGATGGGCCGTGATGCTAAAAACTGCAACGGTTTCTTCACTTTTGGCTACCTGTGTCATTAAATCGTCTAAAATCAACACGATATGCTTCATACCTTCTGTCCACTCTTCTATTTGATTTTTGGATGGTAACCCTTGATATAAACTAAAATTCGGAATGTTTTGTTCCATGTCCTCGAACAAAGGTTGATACTGACTATAACAGTAAACTATTTTGTTCGGTGGAATTTCAAACATTCCGCTTGAATTCCGTAAAATGCGATAAATAAAATGAGTTTTTCCTGACATTGTTGCACCTGATATCATACAGGTTGTAGGTGATTGAAATCTCAAAACGGATTCGTTTTCCCACCAATACATGCTTCCTTCTTCTAGCATCAGAGCGCAAATGATAAACATTTGTACTGTGTTGAAACTATTTATAAACAACACTTTTTATTCTCCCTCTACAGATATTTATTCACAAACTCTTTGACATAAGTATCGGGATTAGTACAACGGTGTAATATTTCTATTATTTGTGACATTAAATAATTATAACATTTCATCCATATATAAAACAATACATGATATCCACATGAAACACTTTCTTTGTTTTGTATCTGAACATTATTGTAACTACAACTCTCACAATTATTTTGTAAAAACATATCAAAGGCTGCATTATAATATCCCGGTGCATTTCCCAAACTGTCGTAAAATTCGGCATGTTTCGGACTGTGCATCCAGAACACTACCCAGTGACTTCCTGGCAAATATGAAGGGTCGGTGTTGCAAATGTATGCAGATGGATATTTGGATACTGTCTGTGGCAGATTGTTTGAAGAAAAGACACCTCTTAATACAGCAGCAGTATGTCTGTTATTTTTCGTTCGCGTTAATAACTCACGGGCATTCATACTCGTGTGTATTTGATGTCTCTGGATTGGTCAATTTCAAGTAAAGCGGGAAATTCTGCATAAGCCAAACAATTTAACGTTTCTGTAGTATTCGCGGCAAATTTCACTTCTAATCTGACACTTCCCTGCCGAACTAAATTTATATACTCTTCTCCTAAATCACTAGGAGCGAGATTAAATGCATAAATTGCATATCCCTCGTTGAACATGGTGCGCGTTATGCTTAGTCCGGCGTCTTGGTTCCATTTCTCAGCCACTTCAAATAGATTCACAAATGGTGTGACGTGGTTCTCGTTTACTCCTACATCAATTTTCATGGGTCTTGCTGGAATGCTTTCGCCATTCACGTACAATGCAATTTCTTCTGCCAAATTTTGAAAATTAAATATGTTTTTGGTGTAACTACCATTTACTGCAGACTGGGAGATGAATGCAAAGTATGCCTTTGTTGGTAGATTGTTAGACCAAACGTTTTGCCATATAAAGCTTCCAGACCCTAAAGGACAAGTGTTCATCTTCACTTCTGTTCTTATCAACGGGTATTTCGCTGTAGTTTCTTTTAATATTTCTGCATGATTAATTAACACCCCACTGTCCACTTTAATCATGCAGGCTTTAAATGAGACGTCCAACAGTTGTACTTTGTATGCTGGGGTTGACTCTGCACTCATAACCAATAATGATGCTCTACTCCGGAATAATTTTAGGTTTACGTCTACACCATTTAATATGTATTTATCCAAACGGAAAATGTCTTCGTACAAAGGTCCTTCCATATCAAAAATTTTGCTCTCTTTTGTAAAGATATACCTTTTTGCCAAACCGCCATTTGTTCCACCGTATGCATTTCCATCATCCATTGTAGCATCGTCTAGATAAAAAAGTTGTGATTGTAATTGCGATTCTGAGGCATCAGTTCCACTAGACAAGATGAGTTTTAAGTAGGCTTTCCATGGGTAATAACTGGTGTTCAGAGAAACTAATTTCCCGTTCATATATGTGTCTATCTGGGACCAAAGTGACTGTAGAGGGAGGTTTATAATACCAGTTTTTTCTTGGGCTGCTAAAGCTGTTCCATCTACTTTGACAATTTTACATTTTGCATATAAACGGCTTCTTCGTAAATCAATGTATTCGTTTCCTTGACCAGGTATGGAGATTTCTATCGGGGCATCTTCTGTATTATATGCTGACACTGGACGGTATTCCGCAAAATATATTTTTTCTACTGCAACTTGATTGGGTGGTACGGTAAATAAAGACAGTTCAGCAGGAAGACCAATTTCGGTAATTTTGTCACTGAGAAAAGCCATTTCTTAAAAACCCTTTTTTTCCCTTTGAAAATATGTTGGATGCCAAGTTTGTATCAGTTGTCTTTAATTTTTTTAACGCACAGCCTGGTGTTGCTCCTTTCCCTGACTTCTTCCTCTTCTTGGTTGAAATGTGTAAATTCTGATCATTCTCCGCTTTTATACTAGCTACTGGAACGTGTGGAATATTTTCACGAATTTCCTCTTTTAATTCTCCTTTGGCACGTTCTTCTACTGCTGCAAGAGGAGTCACCTGTTTGCCTACTATTTCTTTTGGTTCTTCAACAGTAATATGTGGATTAACTGGTATCATGTAAGGCTTCTTAGAATACATCCCTGCAATTCCACTGCCGGACTGCCTTCCTTTATAATTTCGAGGATTAAATTTCCCGTCTAACATGTTTTTGTAAAATGTCTTCCATATTCTAGGGTCAGATACGTACGTCGATCCAGACATTCTTCTTTATAAAGGATTTTTCAACTTCAATAACAATGTCACGGACGTTTCCTCTTTTAGAAATGAGGCGTCCTGTCCATTTGTATCCTTTATATATATGTGTACATCGTGGACCTCACCTAGTCTCGCGGACACTTCATAAGGATATGTAAATATTTCATTCGGTGCAGATTTCTTCACATGTACACACCTTAATAGTGGAAGTTCTTTGTCTCCGACGATTGTGTCCTCACATAGATTTGTGTAAATATAAACATCCGTTTTTCCTTTACTTGAAGGTAAACAAGTCTCTAGTAATGCTACTGACCACTGTCCCCTTAACGTTAATGGTCTCGGAAGATGCACATAAAAATCATAAGGCTTATTTTCTCTGTATAGATCAGGGCTGTCTGTACATTTTAAAACCATCCGAATATCCATTACTTAAAATTTATAGGTCAATCAATTCTGATTTCTTAATCCAGGAATTGTATTTTGAAGGCCACTGATACCAAGATACCAATACTTCTTTTTCACCCTTTCTTGTCCTCTCCTTTAAGATTTTATCCACTTTCCATACAGTGTCTTCCTTTTTATTGACTTTCTGCAGTTCCTGTGCATAAAATGTACCGGAAATTGGATCATCTGTATAGTCTTTAAGTCGGTATACTTCAATACCTTCATGTCGATATCTATGGGTTATTACAAATATTTCTCCTGTCCATTTCTGATCGTATTCACGTTGAAAGGTGCGTTTTAAATGAGAAATTCGAACTCGGTCATTTACTTTGAACTTGTATTGCTTTCGTTTGGGTTTCTTTTTTATGGAAAACTTTTTTTTCCCCTTTGCATGTTTATTTCTTTTTTCTCTCTCTAAAAATGCATTAAATCTAGCCTCTTCTTGTGTGTCTTTTGTTACGTTTACTGGGGCCATGTTTCCTAGGGCTCTAGTCGGTGTCGCGTTGATGCTTTGAGTAATGTTTGTTAATTCATCTACAAATTTGTATGAATCTCTTTGTACAAACATTCGGTGTAATATGTTTTCCAATTTCTGAATGCTACGCTCTGCAAAATTACTTTTTGTCTCATTTTCTGTGTAAATTACGTGGATTCCTTCTTTCTTTAAGAACGCTATCACCCATTTGTTTTTAAATTCACTTCCTTTGTCCGTTCTGAGTATTTTAGGTTTTCGCCCTTTTGCAAATATTGATCGTAGCCCTTTAATCACCTCATTTGCCGTCTTTTGTTTTAGTGGGGCTGTAAAAAGAAATCTGGAAAAAATGTCTTGTAATACCAAGATATACTGAATTCCGTCGTTGTGTTTTGAAATGTTTCTAACATCTTGTAAATCGCCGTCCCAGATAGAGTCAATTGAGTCAGTTATGATATGACGTCGTTTAAATTTCCGCTGCACTCTTTTTTGTAAGGAGTATGCATCCGTATCGGACAAAAATTGTCTGATTCTGTGCAAGCCAATTTTGTATTTCCCTTCACGTTTTACAACTTGATATAATTTGTACGGACCACTAAATGCAGCAGGGTGTTTTGTATCTGTCCATATGTTTTTTAAATAACGTTCCTCTTCTTTGGATAACATTTTTAATAATAATCGAAAGTTAGATATGTCACATCTTTTCATGTAAATAATTATTATTCTTCTTTTATCACAAAACTCAACCCTCTTTTATTTTTAAATTTCTTTATTCTGCATACATTACAACATATGTTAGATCAATTCATGGTTCATATAGTCATTTGGATTACAACCAGGGCATTTTAACATTGACATTTGGTTGTCATGATCAAGATAACAATATCTAATATCATCTAACTCTTTTTGAAACCTCTTTCTGAGAACCGGGATAGTCTTTTTAAATTCTTTCCACAGATCAACAGGCAGAGAGATGCCCTTTCTGGTTGCCACGATATTTTCTGCGTCTTCTGGCTTCCACCATTTTCTTATATCTACCCACTTGTAACCTTGTTCCACTGTAACATGTACGTTATGACCCAGGTGTTCTTTATAAGAAACATTGCCATCTTCTTTTTGTGAATCTTCTAATGCTTTGTCAATTTCATCGAGGCAATCCTCCGTTAATTTTTTCCATTTTTCGAGATGTAAAACAATACCCTTCTTTGATGGATACTTTCTCCCAGTAGGACTGGTGTCAAAATATCGTATGTGTATATATACGTTGCCCTCATGTCTTTGTGCTGATACGTGGCAATCATTTCCTATGTCATATTCCTCATCCGTATTCTTGTTGTATGGTTTGACTCTCTTGACATCTTTTTCTTCCCCCTCATCTTCAAGAGGTCTCTTAGATGAAACTACTAGAAAATTGTCCATTTCTTAATGTACTGTATGTTACTTTAACAATAGCTGTTTATATACATATTCTGTTTAACATTTTCCACACCCCTCTGTTTTTAACCATACATTTGCTGGGGCTATATTACACCAACAGTCTTTACTCCTCCTATCTATCTATTATCACATTATTCTTGGGCTATATCTGTCCAACCAATCATATTTCATGTTTTAATATTTGACTCTCCTCCCCCCTTTTACTTATCGTATGGGGCTATATCTGACCAACTTATCATCACATGGGGCTATATCTGATACTCCTCCCATCTATGACCCTCCCCCTTTGCTTGGCAAGGGGGCTATATCCTCCCATCTATGACCCTCCCTTTGACCCCCCCCCCTCTTGGCAGTTGGGCTATATCTTTTTAGAAATTTTAATATATTTATCAATTTTCCCATCTTTTCTGACCCCCCCCCCCTCTTGGCAGTTGGGCTATACTTACGTTACCGATATTTACGTTACCAACATTTACATTACCATGTTTTAAAGTAAAGTAAAATTGAATTTTAGAGCTGTTTGAACAGATTTAAGAGTGAATCTTAATGATTTTAAAACTAAAAACATGAAGAAATACACAGTTTCTTAAAATGGCATTTTTCTGTAACAAGAGTGCAGAAATGCTAATGGAAGTGCACATGCAAAGGTGAACATTTTCTACATGATATCTTTTGCATCCGTGTGATTTGAAAATCAAATTGACAAAATTTTATTTACAAGTTAAATTGTGTTTAAGGTTCATAAACCCTCAGCTCACTCATGTTAAATGTTGCTTGAACCTTAATTATTTTCAAAAAGAAAGGTATCTTATAAGCAAAATACTGACAATTATAGCACAGCTTGCGGGGCACAAATTGGACAAAAGAGACACTTTAACTTGGCAAATCTATAAGGGAATAATAGACATTTATGTTATTAAGAGTTATCTCTCTTATCAGAGTATCAATGACCCTTAAATGATGAAATGTTTCCATTTTGAGCAATTGGTTAATATTGCATAGTTTTAAGTGTAATGCGCGTTATCCTTCGGAACGTAAATCTGAAACAAAACTTTTCTTACATCGACTGTGAGTGTTGGGTGTCAAGAAACTGGTCGAAATTGAATCCATTTCCATTTTTGTTGCTTTGCAAGAAATACATGTATTAAATTGTGTACCTAATTTTACCCATCTAAATTGTTGCTTGACATAGATTTTAGAACGTATGCTTTAATGGTACAGAAAATTCAATTTACGTTATATTATTGTAGAATGTACGTATATTGCTCTATTGAGCATATATAATTTGCAACACTTTGTAATTAACAATTCTTTAAAAGGGTGGTGGGGATAACGTTGTTTTGTTTTTGAGATTTGATGATAAAGTTTTCACAAGCAATTAAGCATTCAAAATAATCAACAGATTGATTAATTAATTAATTATCAGATAGGCATAGGCAATTGTTTTAGAAAACGGTGCTTAAACGGTTTCATAAATGCCTATAGTTTAAAAAATTTATGTGTTTTATCTTTATTTTGTATTTTAAAAAAATCTTTCATTTCCAAATATGGCTTAACAACATCACGTAAATATCTTTGTGTTAAATTGGCCCTCCAACCGAATTCATTTCGAAGGAGGTCAACAAAACACAGCTAGCATGAAGTATGTACATCAAATTGTGATTTTTAATAACTATGCATTTTCATGTTTCAAATGACATATAAAAATGTTAGTTTCAGCTCACAATTTTTTTTACTTTTCCCAAAGTCGATTTGGCACTATAAATTGAGAATGCGTGTGAAATAGGCTTTATAGTAACATCAAGCGAACAGTCAGACCCGGGGCCAAGATTAATAGGTTAATCTTAAGGTCACATGATACATTTCCCAAAATCTGTTTTGTGAGTCTTAATAATATATGAAAAATATACCGAATTTTAATTACTTTCTGATTTCTAAACCGGTTTCTAATTTTTTTTATTTGAAACTCTAAAAATGGAATTTTGGCAAACTACTTTTTTTCTCCTATCAGATTATATAAGAAATTCAATCCTCTGGTATCTTGCATTAATGTCTGGTACATGTAAGGAATTAATGTCAATAATTTATTGTTCGATTCAATCGAGGGATCCATTTTTTTTTAAAATCCGATGTCAACTGCCTGTTAATCGGTGTGTCTGTTGTACAATACATGTGACACATTACCGTCGCATTTTTTTTTACAGCAGAATGTTTGAAATTTTAGCATATACCGGGGTATTTGTTGTGGTATTTGTTGTGGCATGCCATATGATGGGATTTATAATGCGCCCGGATCGATAGATCCGAGGCGTATATTGTTTTTGTCCTGTCTGTCTGTCTGTCTGTTTGTTTGTTTGTTTATTTGTCCCAAAACTTTAACCTTTGCCATAACTTTTAAACCATGAAAGGTAGAAACTTCATATTTGGTATGCATACTTCACTAATTAGTAGCTTTCAAATGACATCAATATTAATGACCTTGTGACCTTGAATGAGACTTATATGCTAAAAATAGCTTTTCTGTCTGCAAACTTTTACCTTCGCCATAATTTTTGAACCATGAAAGATAGAAACTTTATACTTGGTATACATACTCCACTAATGAAGTTCTTTCAAATGACACCAAGGTCAATGACCTTGTGACCTTGACTGTGACCTATATGCTAAAAATAGCTTTTTCGTACCTTTCACCATAACTTTTGAACCATAAAAGATAGACTTCATATTTGGTGTGCATACTCCACTAATCATTGTCTTTCAAACGACACCAAGGCCAATGGCCATGTGACCTTGACTGTTACCTATGCTAGTATGCTAGAAATAGCTTTTTCGATTTTTGTTGCCACCGGGCGCATAGTGTTTCACAAACACATCTTGTTTTTGTATGAATCTGATGTCAACTTTCTATTTGTCCGTTTAATGCCAGTAAATGAACTTGTTTTGTAATTTTTAATTAATATATAAGTGTATTTTCACATCATAACGGGGTATTACAGTGAAATTCGTTTAGTACGAACACGGATATAGCGAATCCCCAGCTATATAAATTTAATGAATTTTCTTATACGGTTATAACGAATTACGGATATAGCTAAGTGATTTCATAGGTACCAGCGACTTCGTTATAACCGAGTTTTACTGTACTAGCGAGCATTGGCTCACAGACTTGTTGTTTGTCAAGTCCTGTTTGAAAAATATCAAACAAGCATGGAGTATACTTGCTTAAAATTTTCCCGAATACCTTATGTATACATGTACGTATATTTTTAAAAATCAATACATACGAGTAAGTGCAACACTTTTTTTTACAAATATTGGAAACGTTAACTTCATAACGAAATCATTCAAATACATGATATTGCTTTGTAAATGTGTATGTAATTTTTATTACTCGCAGTGTAAGGCGGAAACAATAAGGTTGTATTTTTACGAATCTGAATTTAG